GGGGGGGGAAGTACTAAAATTAAGAAGAATAGAAGATAATGAATGAGTGGAAGAGGTGCGAGTCGTTTGGCATCTCTAATCTATAACTCTCTTTCCCAACCAAGAAAGAAAGAAAGAAAGAAAAGGGAAATTAATAAGGAAGGAAAGATGTTTGAGCACATAACAGCGAGCGAAGTAGCTGGCTACGCCGTCGGTGCTCTGCTACTCTGCGCCACCGTCTCCGCCTACAAGGTCGACTCCTTCGTCGCTTCTTCCCAGCGCAGGTTACTCATCTTTTTATCTCTCCCGTCCCAAATTAATTCTCAATATATATATATATATATATATATATATATATATATATATATAAATAATATAATATCAAAAAATACTGTGAAATGCAAATATGTTTAATTTGGTATACATTTTATCTTTGTGTGGGTGATTTTCTTTCATTGATGGGATGGAGAGCAGTTCGCTTGGGATGTGTAAGAGATGTGGGGATCTGAAGCTGATAGCTTGCCGGCAATGTAAGGGCGGCGGCCGCCGCTCCCCCGCCGCCAGTTTTCCACTGTCCCCTTTTTCTTCTTCTTCTTCTTCCAGGTGTACCAAGTGCCAAGCCAGAGGCTACTTTCGCTGCCCTGACTGCTCAGCTTAAACCTGCCTTGCCCTGCCCCAATCTTAATTATCTGCGGCTGGTGTAAAAAAGCCATTATTTTTAGACAGTAAAAGAATGGTTATTCTTGGAATAGATTGTACTCTCTACTTGTTTTACTTCTACGGCCTCGTTTGGCATTAGCGTCAGAGATTAGTGTTAGCGTTTTGAAAAAGCTATCCGACGATAGCCTTTAGCGTTGGCGTTTTCAGAATTAATCTGGACCGTTAAAATAACATTGACTTTCTTAAATACCTCCACGAGCATTGAGCCAAACACACCGCGGGCTTGACTCACATGCCTGAAGGAGACGTCACGGCGTGACCACTGCGACACCGCAAGCGTGATGGAGGCGTGACCAGCGGGGGCCTGATGGTGCTCATGAGAATTGCTCTTGTTTTTTCTTTTTTTTTTAAACTCTTTATTATTTAAAATCAATTAAAATTTAAGATATTTTCACACATCATCGCTTCTTATCACACTTACCGTAACATATACTCCCTCCGTCCCAAATTATAATGTCTGTTCATTATTCACATGGTCAAATTTCATTCACTTTCTTTCTCTATTTTCGTTAGCAATTTGATAAAATAAAATATTATTGTCACTACTAGTTTTGTAGATTTTTTGATGTAGTTTTTTTATATGTAATTTTTATTTTTTAATTCTATACCATTTGTCATATAAAATGGTTTGAAAATAATTTCAGTCAAACATCGTAAACCGAAACAGGCGTTATAAAATGGGAGGGAGGGAATATATTTTTATCACTCTTCATCATACAGCTTTATATTCCGTTAAGTTTTTGTCAAACTCATCATAACAGATGGCTTGAATGCTTGATAGGTATGAATTGTCACGCCCTTACTATTAAAAAGTTAGATTCTTTTGATCAAATAATGGCCAAGTATCATCATTGTGGAAACCCGTTTGGTAGAAGTCTATTCGAACTTGGGCAAAAAAAACAGGAGTAACTCCTTAGTCCTTACATAGGATTAAAAAATTATGAATGCACTAAAATAAGAGTTTTCAGTCTTTTAAGATCAAAATAAGAGTTCACATTATCATTTTTACACTGTTACATTCATCACATTGTCACATTACAACTATCACACTATCATTGTGACACTGTCTTTTGTTACCACCAGCCACTAGAGTGTCGCTGCGGACTGCCGATACTTGAGGGATTCATATAACACTGTCATCACTTTTCTATTACACTGCCAACACGTATTCTTACATTACACTATCATTATGTTCCTGTTTTGGTCTTAAAAGACTTAGAACTCCTATTTTGATATTTTCATGTTTTTTTACTCCTATCTAGGGTGATTTCTTAAAAAAATATTAGAATGCTCAATAATAGACATGACAAAAAATGATCTGGCCTGTTTTTATCCGAAATTTGACCCGAAAAAACTGGGCTTTGAACAAAGATTTTGTTGTCTGAACTGGAAGTTGATCGAACCCGAAATGATCCGCTGAAAATGGGTCAAACTGACCGAACGAGAACCTGACACACTAATGTAAGAGTTTTTTAAAATCATATCCTTTACTATTAAATATAATGTTATAAAAATTAGGTTATACTTATATTTTTTTGTTACTACTCGTTTTAAGTATATAATTGTACACTTTCACACAAAACATTAATGATATTGCATAATTATCTTAGTTTTTTCAAAAACTATGCATTTTTTAAAATATTTTATATTGATTTATATGCCTAAAAATTATATCAGAATTTAAAGCAAAACAATATAACAGATTTAATACTTATTTTTTGATATTTTAATTTTATTCAATGTGAAAATGTGAAATGCATGCGTTAATATGAATTTAAAAATATTGAAAACCAAACTAATAACTCGTTGGTTCGACCCGAAGCCGAACCCGATGACATTGAGTCATGAACATACAATTCTCAACTTGAATCCGAATTGACCAGAACCAGAAGTGATCAAACATGAACCTGACCTGACCGATCGATTTGACAAGTCTACTTAATAATATGGTTTTAGTCATATTTAAGTTGCATATATGTTTACTATTCATAAAATTATAAAAGTGGCAATATAATACCCATTTTTGTGTTTTTAAGAGCAAAATTCTCCACTTAACATTAAATGGAATAAATTTAGCTATAATAGTGGTGAATTAAGCAATCGCCCTCCTGACGCTGAAAGTTTTTGGACAAATCGCAAATCGGCCCGGTTCCATGGCCACTGGAATCCAGTGGCCACGGAAGCCACTGCCCCCTAGGGAACTCCGTTCATAAAATTGATGAACCCCCGGTAAACCCCCGCCAAGTCCCGACCCAAACTCATCACCTCACCTACGTCAATTGCACCTCGTAAGCATAAATTATGCTTACGAGGTGCAATTGACGTAGGTGGGGTGATGAGTTTGGGTCGGGACTTGGCGGGGGTTTACCGGGGGTTAGGGGTAGGAATCATCAATTTTATGAACGGAGTTCCGTAGGGACAATGGCTTCCGTGGATTCCAGTGGCCATGGAACCGGGCCGATCACAAACACCTTAAATTACTACTCCGTAGTAGAAAGGTTGAATAAAATGAGCAGGGAAAGTGGCCTAAAAATAGTGATTGTGTTAGCGAAGTCGCTGAAGATGACATTTTTTTCCTCTCTCGTTTTTGTTGGTTCTTGAATCTCCAACCACACAAACACTTCAGTACTTCAGCACTAATTGACCCATCCAATCAAAAACGTGCTTTACTATTGGGTGTAAACATGAAACCAAGTCTAAATTGTTCGGCTTTGCTGGGTATTCTTCTCCTTTCTAAGGTTATAAAACAGTCGATCTCTCCCAAGGGTAATTGATTCTTCATTTCCTGCAATTGTTTCCCACTCAGAGAATCAAAGATTGCAATTTTTTCGATTCTTGTTTGGCGTTTTCTTGATTCTTTGTTTATTTTTTTCAGCTTCTGAGCAGTTTGGTAAATGGCCAATTCCGGAAAGAAGGTGTTGCTTACCTCCAATGGCGACGATATCTGCAACAATATTGCCCACCACTTAGCTCAGCGCGGCTGCCAGTACTCTCTCTCTCTCTCTCTCTAGACTCTAGAAAGTTCAAATCTCTTACTGATTGTTATATTGGATTTTGATAATATGTGAATGAATGTATAGATCTAACTGTTATTTCCTGCCTTTCTTTTTGGGGGTTTTTGGAAAAATATATGAGAATTAATCACATGAATTGTTTGAATTGGTCAAACTCGTTATGATTTATGAACCTGCATCACTCATAAAGCCTTGATAATATCAATATCTAACATGGCCTTTTTGTTGGTATATTTAAAAATAGATTGGTTTTAGTGGGTGATGAAAGAAAGTTGAAGAGAGTAGCTGAGATGATAAGGCAATCTCTAGATGGGAGTGTTGTGGTGGAAGTGGTCGGTTTGAACATGGAAGACGAGCGAGAGACTGCGTTTGATGAAGCAGTTGACAAAGCTTGGAAACTTTTAGGCTACTTGGATGCTTTAGTCCATTGCTATTCTTATGAAGGTAGTGGTTTCCATCATCTATAACCCTCTAAAAAAGGCATAGTTTAAAGCTGACAATATCATACTAAACGCTTGGGATGAATCGTCCCCTTTGGGTATGGATATGTTTTTGAGAACTAATGGAGCCGTGGGTACGCTTATATATTGGTGTGCGACAGGGAAGATTCAAGATCCTCTTGAGTTAGGGGAATACGAGTTCAAAAAGATTGTGAAGGTTAATTTCATGGCTGCTTGGTATTTGTTGAAAGCTGTGGGGAAACGGTTGCGCGACAGGAAATCAGGAGGGTCTATTGTGTTTTTGTCTTCGATCCTTGGTGCCGAGAGAGGATTATACCCGGGAGCTGCTGCATATGGTTCTTGTTTGGCTGGAGTTCAGCAGCTTGTTAGGGTAACCTGATTTTCTTGTCATTCATCACAACAATTTGTTCTTGTTTCAGCACTTGATGATGATTATCAATCCTTAAGGGCACATTTGGTTTAGTTAATCTCACATCACTTAACTTATATTACTATTAATCATACAACAGACAGCAGCATTGGAGATAGGAAAGCACCAGATAAGGGTGAATGGGATTGCGCGGGGCTTGCATTTGAACGATGAGTTCCCAACATGGGTAGGAAAGGAGAGAGCAGAGAAGTTGGTGAAGGATGCGGTCCCACTGAACCGATGGCTCGACGTGGAAAAAGACTTGGCTTCAACCGTCATCTACCTCATCAGTGATGGGTCCCGTTACATGACTGGGACCACCATATTCGTCGACGGGGCCCAGTCCTTGGTCAAGCCTCGCATGAAATCATACATGTGAAATCTACCTGATAAGATCTCTCGTCTCTTTGTCTGATCTTCTGGTTTTTCTTCAAGCATTGTTTTTTAAAACTCTTTGCAACATGATTGATTCATGTTATTATTGTTATTTGTTGTTGTTGTTGTTGTTTGGCAGATGAGGTAGTTGCCAATTGAATAAGTTGTTTAACTTGTGGCTATAATTATGAAACAATGAAAGAAATAACATTATAAATAATGATTAGTAAGAATATGTTAATAATTTTCAAGTTTCTATTCTTCATTTCTAATCTTCCTACACACTAATAATTCAAATCTTCCAATTCATACATTGTTTGGTTTTGAATGTTTTCCATGTGTTCGCATGATTTTCTTAATCATCGGAACACTTTAAAACGATTTCGTTGATGTTCAAAATAATGACCGGCAAACATTTTTAGCGTTTACGCAACAATGTAATAAAAATGTTATATCTAAAAACGTATGTAACTTTGTTGAAATGCTTATTTCATGTGCACACAAATAAGCATTATAGGTGGATATCAGTTCAATTTAGTAGCAATTTGACTTGCTAATTATATTAATGAACCCGGGCTATGCGCGTTGAGATGTTACACTAGGCCACCCTTAGGTACCATAGGTCATCTCTTAAGACACCTCAGGTTGTCTTTCCTAGGTAGTTTGATTTATTAACTTGAATAACCAACAATATGATGAGGTCATCTTATGACATGGTCATCGAATGACAATGTCATTTGACGATGAGGTCGTCCATAAACGTGCTCATTGCCAAGTTTTTTCTGATTATACGACCATTCAATGGCATGATTATCTGATGACGAATTGAAATCATTCGTTAAAGTGGCCTGAAGATAGGGTCATTGTCGAGCAAGGTTCTCATGATAAGTTCATCTTTTGAGAAGGGTCGTCAAATGACGACATCATCATCAAGGTTTGGACGACGATGTCATTTGATGAAAATTACATCTAACGATGAGGTCGTATAGTCGTCTTAAAGATTCTGATAATATATTCATCTAACGGCGAGGTCATTTGTTATACCCGGGCCTGGCCCTATCATACCCTCCCCCATGTCCTACACCCTCGCAAAAACCAGAGGACTTAAGTTCAAGCATTATGATCCGTTTTAGTGAGAATTCCGAGTCCTTCAACCCAAGAGGCCAGGATAGCTTCGGACCCGAGGGTTCCACAGGCCAACCCCCACTCTGTCCAACCCAACCCAAAATATCCAAAACTCCTTGCCATTTACTTCATTTCAAAATAAAGTTTTTTCCTACTCTTATTTAAGCTTCTCGCCAAAAATAAGGTTGCGTAAAATAAAACCTTTTGTTTGTTGTTATTTTTCTTCTTTTAAGCCTTTTGTTCAACAAATAAAACCCACCCTCTATTCCATTCACCCCTGGCCAAAATACACTTCACAATCCCAACATAAACACCCACAAAGAGCCAAAACCCGGACCCACCACTAGCCA